GTAAGTGATTATTGCTTTTAAGAGAGAAGAGTTCCTTAAGGACACAAATTCATGGCAAGCACCATCACCACCGTCAGGTTCATCAGTATTAAAACAAGTTAAAACAAAGGCAATCTGAAAGGTTTAACGAATATAGCATGAATCAGTTATGTCTATCAGTAGACATTAATCAGTTGCTTTAAATTAGATCAATGTGCATTATTTCCCTAAGGCACTTTGAATAGGGGGATTTCAAATCCATTAATTCCAAATCCGATGGAAACTAGAATAGTTTGTTAAGTAACAAGCTCGTTTTCAACATTCTAAGAAAAGAACAAACAAAAAAAAGAAGCTATGGTTACCACTATAAAGTTGCTTTCATTAGAAAAAGAGCCTAAGAAGTTTAAAAACACTATCCGACAGGTAAATTTTCACATTCTAATTTTTCATATCTCATTACATAAGTTGAAACATTGACATGAACCTCATAAAGGAAAAAGAAAAAAAAAAAGGTTAAACCAGCTACGGATCTTTAAACTGAATCCAAACAGGAAAAAAGGATGGGATAAGATAACAAGCCTTCAAAGCACCATGAATCACTAAAGTGTTCCGCACCCCAATTCGAAACAGGAAACAGATAAGTAACATAGGAATACAACCAGTAAATTCACTTTTTCTATTGCCCAAAATTTAACCCCACAAATCAAAGTTCAGCATCCTTCAATAGTCACCAAGAGGATCAGTTAACTAAATAGCATTAGACATAAAATGGACTTTCCAACATGTCAATATTTAACTAGCAGATGTTCATACTCATAAAACACACATAATCATGTTGCCATCACCATCCCGTGTGAAATGAAATATCTAGAAAGACAAATACATGATCAACAAACAAAAACTCACCCTTCAACACCCAACAAGAATACGATTTAAGGATATTTCCCCTCATGAAATTTTGCAATGAAAAAGAACATTAAGTTCATTAAGTAGTACATTTATGAGCCACAAATTATTTAATAAAACGCATATCGTACCACATTATGGTAGTGTATTACTCCAGTATACCTCATACCATAATATGTAGTTATAACATTTCTCACTAAAACAGCATATGTAGAAGAGATTCCAAGTTCACAAAAAGTTGCAAAAATAACGAGAAATCGAATACCTGACAAACAGGTTGACCCGTGCGCTCAGGATAATCAACTCCACCCGTTCTTAAAGATCCCATTGCCTGTTATCAACCGGATAAAAAAGGGTCAGCAAAACACATGCTTACCTATGGAGTGCGGCTCTAGCACAATTATAAACATCACAAACAAGAAATGCATGTCTAGCACCATTTTCAAACAAAATTGGCATATATCCCCTATCTCAAAAAAAGAAGAGTGTGCACCACTTTAATGGAATAATCCACAATTGTCAATGTCATCCCCACTTAACATATCTCACTATTGCCAAAAACTATGGTAAACTCCATCAGAAAAATAAAAAAATACATAATGGATAATGATGATCACATCAAAATGCATTAACCCATTAAGATTCAGCTCAATGCAAGCTTGAAAAATTTCTGTGATAATCCAAAATGTAAAAGTTTCCAAATATATGTCATTTCTTCTTCATAAAACCCGAAATGAGGAAAACAAAAGACCCATAATATTATACAAATCAGCACGAAATCTATATAAAGCCCTGATAAATCCAGCCTTTAACCCCCATTAACCACACCGATCACGCAACAAAAGTGTCAATACCAAACATCAACGCTCACAATTGTTTCCCTTACCAAATTACGGTCACGGGGATGATTGAACCGACACCGACTGCCATACCCACAAAATCCTGTTCTCATGAAATAGATACAATCGGGTGCATCGGGCCTCACAGGGTACGATTCGGGCCCTCCACCGAGACCCAACTGCCACATGGGCTCTGCATTCACATACAACAAACCTCAGACCGATCAACATTACAAAAACATCAAGATAAAAAGACCGCAACTTTGACTCAAAATTGAAGTGAAATTCAAATGGGAATTCAAGAACACTCGCCTTCCAGCCCGGTTTCACCACCGGGCGCCGCCCATTCAGCCACCAGATCCACCGGAAGCCCCTCCATTGCCTTGGTCCCACTGTACCTCTCCATAACCACGCCACAAGCAATCTCTCTCTCTCTCTCCCTAGATATATACTATATACAGTGTATACAAAGTATATTGTACAAAGTGTAAATATGTGTGTGTGTGAGTTTATCTACATACCCCAAATTACAGCACAATTGCAAGCTCGATCTTGATCGATAGGGGTTTGGTAGTTGGGAGAGATATTATTTGTTGTTCTTATTATATATATTATTTTCAACACACGCCGTTTATATATAGTTCACACTCGCTGTGTGTCTGTGTGTTCATCTGTGTGTGATTTTTTGTGCACTTTCTAATGGGTTTTTTCTATTTAATAATTAAAAAAAAAATTTAAACTTTCTTACTTTTGGCTTTTTTATTTATTGTGAACTTTTGTTTTCTTTATTAAAAGGGAAAAGGAAATAAAATTACTTAGGAAAAGGAAAAGTCGGATGATCAGATTTCTGTATGCCTTTTATATATTTTGTTGATTAGAATTTGTGGTGTTCGACTTGTTTGGTATGTTTTTTTATTTAATTACTTTTATGTTTTTGTCATATTTGTTACGCGCCAAATAAGCGTGTTGTAACTGCAGTTTCCAAATGGCTGATGTGGTGATGAGGCCAACTATTAAGTTACTGGGACACGTGATCTTCATCATGTGGCTCTGGCGCAGGCACGTGGGCATCGTTTTGGAGCCGGCGAATAAATGATTGTGTTACCCTACATTGTTTTATGATTACGTCAGTCAGTCAGGTAGTCAGTCATACACTTTTGTAGTTGGTCTCTTGACTATTTCGAGAGATAAACCGCGAAATGTGTCCTGTAAGTCGTACATTTTGTCCCTTGATTTTTATTCTGTACAACCATCTATAAAAACATTTATAAAATATAAAACATTTTTTCATGAGTTTTTCATATATTTTCCATCTAAATTCTTTTTTATAGTTCTTTTTAACATTAATTAGTTTAAATTTTGAGCAATGAGAATTGTGAATGCCTTCAAATGTCTATTCGGGATTTATTGTTATCTCTCTTACTCTTATATAAAGGTAGACATTTTTTAGCTGAACTGTTGGTTGTTTTGTAATTTTATTGGGTTTATTGCATCAAATCCTCTTGTATTATACTAAATGTGTGCGTTTTCTCCTTGTAATTTAAAAATAGAAAAAGATTCTTTTTCACCCCAATACAAAGATACATTAAGTTTTTCACACCGCCCAATAAAAAGCTAAGTTTTTCACCCCAGAAAGTGCGAAGGTTATGCGAAAATTGTCGCATATTCATCGCATAACTGTCACATATGCGAAGGTTATGCGAAAAACTGTCGCATAACTATCGCATATCAATTGCATAACTGTCGCATATTCATCCCATAAACCCATTATGCCCCTGTCATTTAAGTTGGAGCACCAGAACCGTCTCTTCAATTGTTGTCTCTTCTCAAAAGGTGAAAACCCCTAATTTTTTTAAAAAAGAAAAAAAAAATCAGATCTCAGCCGCCAACCATATTTTGGAACTCCGATCTTGAGACCGCCACCACCGCTTCCTCTAGGAAGAGTTCTCTCTCGATTTGTACAAGTCGGGAGTGCCGGTCTCCAATGTGCTGCAGGTGGAGGATTTCGTCTCTTGCGGTTTGCGAAGGTCGGGTCTCCTCTGTCGTTGGCTGTCTCGGTGGAATCGACTCCGATCTCATAGTCGTTGCCGCCACCGTGTAGGGATAAGAGAGCCAGCGGGCCGTAATTTCTCATAGCACTTGCTGGTACAATTTAGTTGTTCTTTCTTTCTTTTTTTCCGAACACTTCTAATTTTTGGTCGACAGTGGAGTTCTTGGATGGATGTCTGCCAAATCTGATGATATTTTGATTTAATGAAGTTCACTGAACTTCTCAGGAATTATTAAGTGTCCTGATATTGATAAAAACACAAAAGAATGTGATGTATTTTTTTTTTTTCAGTGGAACAATGTTTCAGATTTGGTAATTTTAACTTGTAACTTGAGACTCTTTTTACAAACTTTGTTTTTTACATCAGCTTGTCAATTCTTGAAGCTTCCACTTTTTTTTTGTTTTTTTTTTATATTTTATAGTTTGTCATTTTGAATTTAGATTGGTTGAATTCACCTAAATAAATTATAGTCCTTGCACAAATTGGGTGTCATAAATTTTTTTATTAATATCAGATGTTGATGAAGTGAATTAATGAATCAGATTGTGATTTTCTTTCCCTAAATTTACTGTGTGAGAGAAATTTCAAGTGTTCCAAATAGCAAACACTCATATTTTGGATTCTGTTCAGTTTTTGGATTTTGATGTTATTAATTTTTCTTATTTTTGAGGTTGAAGATGAGCTCAGGTGACTTTAGATTTTTTTTTAATGGGTAAAATAGTAAATTTAAATTGCAAAAGAAAAAATTGTAAGAAAAAATTAAATAATTATCGCAGTAGGGGCATGTGTACTGCACGCACCGCCAAGTTCGACGGAGAGGGGAGAATCGTGCTACCATTAGTACATTTTGTATTTTATAGTTATACGTCCCAATCTTTTTACGTTTTGCAGCAATCTATGTGGACTTTTAAATATATAGAGATGTCATATGTGAAAAATTGGTAATAAATATAAAAGTTGAAGCATGTTTATAATTTAAATTAACAAAGTGTTTATAATTTTATAAGTCGTATATTCATGTATAAATATGCATATCTACATGTACTACATAGAAATATCGGATATGGACACTTGATATTATATATGTAGTATTATATACAAAACTACTCTCACCTACCACCATGCTTGCATTAAGTTGTGTCCATTAGTCATGTAACACCTCGCCTAATTATTCTAGCATTTATAAAAATCAGAGTAAAATTTTTTTGCTTTTTATTTTCGAAAAACTCTTTAACTTTATTTTTGAAAATACTCATACTAACTCGCGGGATGCTACTAACTACATGCAACCTAATCAAATCCGTTATATAAAGGTACCACGAAGATAAAGACATTATACATGCATAAGTCTGATAATCTCATAATACAAACTAAGACTGAGATGTGCGGAAGCTGAAACATAATATGTCTACGCATAGTAATAATAATACATGTTCATATGAATGACATGTAAATGCGTTACAAAAAGACTGCTAATGACCACGCGCCACTGCCGCTCATGCGTCACGCGCTGCTCCGTCACCTGAAAAACGTAATGGGGGCGTGAGTAAAACCACTATGCTCCGCAAAGACCAGTACTTAATTATACAACATCGTTAATAACAATATCATGACTTTAAGTATATAAGAACTGATCTGAAATGAAACTGTAACTAGGGCATCTGGTGGTCATAAACACCCTGGGGCTTAAAAGCCAATCATGTGCACACTCCGGGGGATCATTAAGGCCAATTAAGGCCTCCCTCACAACCACTGGGGATCTTTAAGGCCCGCCACGGCCTCCCTCAATGGTGAACTAACTATTTCTCATACATACCTCAGACATGGTACGAAAATTAAAGACGATGTATAACCAGTACGTGACCCCCACCTGATAAGCTGCTACTGCTAGGCAAGTGCTGACTGACTGGTAGCTGTTGGAGGCTCGACTCTCCTTAAGCTACATCAATATTTGAGCAAAATGTACTAAGTACTAAGCTCAAACTGAAAACTTTATTCTTATTATTATCTGATCTTACTAGGTTCTCTCGCTCGATTATAAAATCATTTAATCTGAATTTAGAGGACTTGAGCTATTTTGGAAGGATTTGTTGACTTTGAGGCATTCTAGAGTTCTCTGAAATATTTGTTACTCTGGTCTGCTTTACTGAGTTTTATCTGATCTAGCTTATTCTGATCTAACTTATCTGACTGGGTTAAAAAAAATATTGAATCTCGGTTCACGCTCAAACCAGTATTTTGAACTGCTATTCTCGAATCGTCCAGACTATCCGGACCGATTCGACTGAACTGGACCGGCAGCTCGATCTGAGCAGGCCGGTTGCTCATCTGACTGGGTGCAAGTCTGCTTAGCCGTGGTCCGGGTACATACGAACGGACACGGCATCAGCCGACGCCCAACTTTTTCTACTCGAATCTAGAAATCATGCGGTCTGACCGGGAAAAGGCCGAACTAGAGTTTTCTACTGAACCAGCTATCTATCTCGTTTCAAGCCAAAACTCAAACGCTAAGTTTAACATGATTTTCTAGTGATTTTAGGCCCAACAACTGCATCTAAATCTCAACCGGCTAATATATCACAAAAAGCAGCTAAAGCCCCAAATTATTAGGCATACTAAACAGTCTCCAAAATTTACGAAATTTTAAACATAACGCATTTTAACATTTATAATATTTTTTCCATACAATTTCAACACATTTGGAGGGCTTTAGCATTTTTTTCAAAAACTGAGCATATCGACTACATATTAAACAAATCCAGTAAAAATAGTAAACGGGCACCACAATTCACGAAACTTAGCATATAATCTCCTTAT